GTGTGTGTGTGTGTGTGTGTGTGTGTGTGTGTGTGTGTGTGTGTGTGAGTGCGAGAGCTGGTTTTAGCTGCGAAACAAAGCCACAGTCAACCCCCCCCTCCTCGCACGCAACACAAAAGCTTCGACAGTTTGGACGGAGCTGTGCAGATCTGACTGGCAGCTCTGGATGTGAAGCTAACCGAGGCTCAGAGAAAGTGACATGTTTTCAGAGAAAGACCCTGAAAACATGTCACTTTTTAGGGGGGGGTCAAGTGATTTCTGAACTGAGCTGCCGCTACTGCAATGGAGTAGAGATGGTGCCTCATCAAAGATGTTTATGGCCTGTCGATGTCAATAGTTTGTTCCTTCTTTTCCTCCTACTGTAGCTTGTTTCCTCCCCTCCTTAATTCTTCCCATTCAACTCCCAACCCCAGTTAACCCAGGTTAAGCCTGGCTCAGATCAACAGGCTTTAGCGTGGCCCTTTAAACTTGGCTGTGTAGGACTTGTACGGAGGAACCTCCAGATGCAGTGTAAACAGGTCCCTGATCTAAAGGCCACAATCTTCAATCTGAAAGATGACCCACCAAGTCACCTCTGGAGTTTCAGTTCCACCACCAGGCTGATGCTGGATGTTCTCCTTGCGGTCCCTGTATGGATCCTTTAGCTTTTACTGGATTGGTTAGAATGAAAAGTCTGACTAAGAAATGAATCCATGTTTAGCGTTTAGATTGGGAAGCAGCGAGCCTGGCTCTGTCCAAATTTTAGCATACTTATGAGCACCTCTAAAGCTCACTAATCCATACTAATCGATTCATGTTTTATTTCATACAAACAAAGTGTTTAGTTTATTAGTTTAGTTTATTAACTGGATCCCCATTAGCTGACGCCTTAGCGGCCGCTAATCGTCCTGGGGTCCACAGAAAGGACAAAACGTAATACATACAAAACGTGCAAAACATGACGTGAAACAAACATTTAAAAATATACAATCAGAATAATGAAAAATAGAAAAATAAAAAAATAGTATAGTCAGATACAGTCAAAGTGCAGTCAAAGACTAGGATGTATATTGTCATAACCGACCATATACACAGTGCATCCATAATTTATACAAAGAAGGATCAGGAGACTACAAAAGCAATGGAAAACATCAAGTGGTTAGTTGTCTGAGGTGAGCCTTTAATTGTTTTTTAAATGACAGATTATTACCTGTATGAGTTATATGAGGAGGTAGTAAGTTCCAAGCAGTAATTGCACGAAAAATAACTGTACGTTTGAGGAGGTTTGTTCTTGGGGTTGGAGGTATCAAGTGACCTGAGCTAGCATTCCTTGTGTGATGGTTATGTCTGTTACATGTGTGTTGTAACTGATTGAAGAAATAGTCAGGAGACTGCTACAAATAAACAGAAAACTGGAGCACATACACTGCAGTCATTGAGGGAAATGGGGAACAGAGACAGAAACAGGGGGGGGGGGGGGGCTGAGCTCAATTTCTAAACAACTAACCCTCAACTGTCCCAGAGCACACTATTGAGAAGCCTGCTGGGACCAACAGAAACACTGAGCTCTGTTGTCCAGGCCTGGGAGTGGCGAGTGTGTGTGTGTGTGTGTCTCAAAGTACCCACTGTGACCATTACGCTTTTGCATTCCTACAAACACAGTGACAGGCACTTCCATACCAACTGGCATCGTCTACATGCACCTCCATCAGCCAATAGTGGTGCTTGCATGGACACTTATTACAAACACTCAAACTACTTGTTTCAGTCGTCAAGTCTCACACGCACATGATGAAATCACACACACACACACACACACACACACACACACACACACACACACTTGGGCTGTTTCTTTTCTCACAGCTGTGTTCAAATATCAAACAGCCCGCTGAGAGAGAACAAACACACTGACGAGGAAAGATTAGCTGGTCACAGAGGGTGCCCGCACGCACGCACACACACACACACACACACACACACACACACACACACACACACACACACACACAGACAGAGAAACGTACGCACAGGTTCCGCTCAGATGTGAAGTGATTGCGACAAATTACAAAAGGCTACATGGCTTGACCTCACAGCAGAGCAGTGGCAGCAGAACTTCAAGTCAAAACAAAGGGTCCTGAATAAAAACAGAGATTAAAGCCAAAGTAAAGGAAACAGCAGCTTTAAGTGTTTTAATAGACTGTTTATGCACAGTGAGCCAGCAGAACTGCTTCAGTGTGCTTTGGCACTGATTATAGAAAGAACTGAACTCTGAGGCAACGATGGGACATGAAGTGGATGCTTCTCCGAGGGAGTGGACGTGCTCCTAACGCAAGCTACATATTTAATCGACATGTGTTTCCTTTATTTTGAAAGGGTGTTGCAGCTCATATTAGTTGGTAAAAAGGTCAGAATCTACTATGTTCTTGAAGGCAGCACTGTGGATGAGGACCTGGGGTTGGACATCAGTAGAGGTGAGGACGAAAGCGTGTTTTAGTCCAGTGCGAACCAAGAGGCCCAAGGTGACGGCGAGTCGGGCTAGTCAGCCATTTAACTAGTCAGCCAACTGCACATTCACCAAACAAGTGTTCCAGCCAGCTAGCAGGCCTGCAAACCAGGCAGGGTGAAGAACCGACCCCGGTCCGGAGTCTCGCATATTTGTAGCGTCGGGGGATTCGAAACTGAACCCAGTGAAAACACATCTGGTTTAAAAATATGAGGAAAAAAAAAAAGGCGGACTGGTTTATGTATGCCGGGGCGGGCAGGACTTGGACCGCTGCCTTGTTTCTAAACAGGCAGGCGGCCAGAGAGGTTCCGCAGCACTGAAGGATGCCACGGCTGACTGAGTGACTGTTTCCAGCCCGCTTATGTACGCACAGTTTGATCCCCCGGGGACAGCCTGGCTCGGCAAGGCTCTTCTCTGTTGCACCTTGGGACTGCACGGAATTCAACTCAAACACTTAAAAGAGGAGAAAAGCAAAGCCACCACCTTCAGATAATAAACCCATCTGCTACACAGGATTTGCTTCGGGGGTTTTAAATGAATATTCTAAGACCAATTGAAATCCTATTGTCTAACCTCCCTTCACAGAGAGATCAGAGGTCAGGGTCGGCTACAGGATAGTGCACAAGTGGAGCTGATGGGGACAGGGTTTTCAGCACGGTGGAGGACTTTTCAACACTGGATGATTTCCTTTGAAATCAACAGGAGAATAATCTTCACATAGTGGCTCACCAATAATACAAGCAAACGGGTCGGGAACAACTATTCCTGCTCTCATGACATCATCTAGAATGCTAGAAATGTTGTATGTACCATGTTAGTTCGTATAAAGGCCTATTCACAGTTACTACAGCACCGCTGATGTGTTCTGTGACTCCGGGCCAGCAGAGATGCTGCGATGTGAAACGCTGGTTGGAATGAAGTCATTTGGCCAGATGCCTGTTTCCATCTGAGGCCAGAGGAAACCGTTAGCCCGCCACTGCCTTTTTTCCCACCATCGTATCGCTCGCTCTCTCTCTCTCACACACACACACACACACACACACACACACACACTCTCACACACACACACACGCTTGTCCTTGCCGTTTTGCCCCTCCGGTGAAAAGAAGAGCTGACATCAGGTACAAGTTTAGAACGTGACAATGGACTAAAGAGGGGTGTTACACACACCAGAGCAATCCACTTCAGAGATATTTTCCTCTCAGTGCCTCCCGCTCTGATCTGCTCCGCTTGTGGAAGTCACAACCAGCAGACAGCATGGCGGTCCATGTGACATACTGTAGGACGTGTCCAGTGGTTATTAGTTTAATACTCATCAAGCAATAGGAAGTGGCTCCGTTTTGAGTCGTTTGAATCCGACTAAAAGGGAAGGAGTCTTTGTCTGTTCTTTTGATTTTCTCAACCACCGTTCGTCCGATCTACTTCACACTTAGTGGGTGTGATGCTGACGATCCAAGGAAGTGCAGTGTCGAGTGCAAGCTCTTGAGATCTACGGGAAATATCTTTTTGTAGTGCGTTATGAACACACTGTGTTGCGTATTGAGAGGGGACCCCTACTGACTGCTGGGTACACATCACTCTCCATCGATGTTTGTCTGAGCTTTTGCAGCTAAATGACTCGCACATACTCTAGCACTGCTCGAGTATGCAGCTATGTCACGACAGGTGTATTGCTGTGTGTATCGTTGGACCCAAGGAAGGGCAGTGGGGAGCGTGAAGTTATTTGGACGAGCGGTTTCCCGAGAAAGCAGCAAGCAGCAAACACCGGAGGCCAAGCAGTCGACAGCTCGTTCAGAACAAACACGTTTTGGATCGAATGTGGACACGGGAGGAAGTCAAGCAGCTTCAGAGTGTCCCCAAGAGGATAGTTCATATGAATCCCACTGCTTTTCTTGGCAAGTCCCGCCCTGTGTGGCATTCAAGGATCGGCCAGGCATCCAGGCACGCTGAGGTACCGGTAACCTGATTTGATTGGGTCCTATACCCTGACCAATGGGCTGTCCTGAGCCTGAATACTCGCGGTCAGAACCAGCGTGGAATAGGCCTACACTCTGGTTCATGGGA